TCACCAAAAGAACTTTTCATTGTTTTACATAATCATACATAGAGTGTACTAAATATTAGAGAGTTACATTGAGTTCATATAAGAGAGTTTTCAACACAATCGTGATTCATGGAGCCTTGTGATTTGAAGTGCTACTATTACACAGGACATGGTCATTGTATCTTGGGAGATATGCATTAATCAACCATGAGCACCGTAGTGGGGCGTAAACTTGTCTTAAGGACAAAGTGTCCAACACTTGCTCGACCGTATTTTCTAGGTTTTTCTAATTCATTATATCATGTTCATTTAACATTGGTTACTCCATGCATTATTGTGATATATATAATTGCATGAATTATTTCTTGATTTTTCATTTGATTTAATATAGCAATTAGACCCTATTTTTCCAACACTTGCTGGTAAGAGAAATTTTCATTATGACGGGAATGTAGGTGGTACACCATGTGTTTTTATATAAGTGGTGGGAATTTTTTTTTTTTTTTTGAGTTATTAACCATTTAACACACATATCCCACCATTTATATAGTGACACATGGTGTACCACTCAGTGTATCGATCACACTGACAAATCTCTCACTGGTAAGGCTAGCAATTAGATGATGGATATTGGCATTGGCTCAGGTGGTAGATGTTGTGTGCTTCTCACTACCTATTGGCAATTGAGAATTTTCGACAGGTTGTCTAATTTGATTAGATTAGCTTTTATGTTGTAAAGATTCTTAGGTCAGGCAGGTATTCAAATCACTTCATTCGTCCTGTTCAGAGGCGATCTTAAGAAATTAAGAGTCGTAGGTAAGTCTGAATACATATAAAATGTCTATTACTACATCAAATAACATTAAAAATTAATATCAAAAGAACGAAAAGATATAGAAACATTACTTAAATATTACACGTCTTGTATTTTTAGACACAAATGTACTAATTAAGTTTACATAATCTTGTTGGGGCCAAAAAATGTCACACACCAATTCAACCAAGTTTTAAGGCCCAATTGTCATGCAAAGCCTACATTCAAGCTCAAACACATGCTAAGGCACGAGATAGACGAGGAATATATTTACCAACATGCAATGCCACGGTGATTAAGCCAAATATTCACACTATGCTCATGCCTATTCATCACACCATGCTTCCTCAGTCACTATTCATGCTAAGCTTAAGTCACATATTCGGGGTTTGTCAAGTGGATTGTGGTGTGAATGGTTATAGAAGGTTATCGGGCCTACGTGGAATCAGGGACATGGAAGACTTTGAGCTGCTTGGGGGCCGAGAGATCCAAGCTCATACCCTTTGCATTTCACGCAGGCAACATTAAGAGAGAACTAGCCTAGTTTACCCATTTCCCTAGCAAGCCAACCCCCTTAGTTGGTACTGAACTAGATTCCTGCGTTACATGCATGTTAAGCCCAGCAAGTTAGGCATTTAATGTTGATTTTTCCTTCTCGGCCTACACAAACAAATAACGTGTGAAAGCCATGAAGCGTGCTACTAGAAGTGGCGCATGACGAAAGCCGCGCCTTTTGAAGAAGCAAACTAGAGGTCTCAACAATGCAGCTATCTTACACCAAAAGGGGAATAATATGAGAGATTTCCTTGAAGCCTAGAGAAAAACCCTTCACTTACATAAGGAGGGAGAAACCATTACAGAGTGGGACAAGACATATATGGTAGCACAGAGAGTGAATGCAAGGAGAGAACCACCTAGGAAATAAGCCCAGAGAGTTTCATCTAGCCCAGAAACATACTCCAAGCCTCTAGTATCATCATTCATGCAACCTTAGTAATTTCCACAACCTTCCATTGAATATCTCAGCCATTAGAAGCCTTACTATCACCCTAGGAAAGCCCAAAGCATGCAGCTAAGAATGCCATGCAACCATGCAAACCCCTGCTGTCTCATGTAAATTGATAATCTTCTAACTTCCACACCACGCTTCAATTGAGCAAGTCATTATCTTGATCAATCATGTTATCTTCGAGTCGTTAATGCTACCATGAGTATTTCCTAAGACAAGCTAACTCTTTCGAGATATCCCGAGACTTGGTACAAGTCTGCACGAAGGGCGACAATAGGACGTTCTCAAAGCCTAAGTCCACCTCGACCTAAAAGTCCCCCAACAAATCTAATTTTTTAACTAATAAAATAGCTAACTCGTTCAATCTTTCTTGTGATATAGTTTTTTATTCAACTAACTATACAAAACAATTAAATCCTACAAATGTTGTTGCTCAGCTTTATAGGCTATTGTCTTTAGACGAAGACTCAAAGTCTCTAAACTTCTTATTTTAACATACAACTCTCAACGTTGGCCCCTCCGAATTGGCGTGCCTAGTTAGCCGCCTATTCCAACTACCTTCAAGACCGCCCTTGTTCGGTCCAAACAAAAAAAATAAAATAAAATAAAAACCCATGACCCACCACTACCTTGCATCTAAATCCCACCCCTCTTACAACAACCTCATGGCCCACCATCTCCAGGTGTTGGATGGAAGAATTTCTCATTATATTGAGTGAAACTAAGATGATCCCTACATATTTATGGTGAGCTACTTATGTCTATTAATCCTAGAGAAATTTTGGTACAACTATCAGTTTAGGGTAGCTCTTATGTTGGGTGAGACAACAAAAAAAATATAGAATTTCATGTCTTTACAAGAGGTGCCTTACAAATTTAGTGTGAATTATTGGTGCAAGAGAAATTTCGATAGGGCTTACCATATTAGGGCAGCTCTTTCACTAGGTGAGACTGCCAAAAATACAAAGGAGTTTATGTATTTATATGAGGAACCCTTAAGACTTAGAGTGAGTTGTTGGTGCATATTGACATTATAGAAATTTCGATAGGGCTATCATATTAAGGAAACTTTTAAGTAAGATCAGACTAGGTTGGGCTCACCTCGTGTAAGACTTAAAATACAAATAATTGTCTTTGAAAGACATGCCTAACAAATTTAAGGTTAGCACGATAAAATTTTGCATAAAGGTGTCTATTCAGGAAGCTCTTACACTGGTAAAATTAGGCTGAGCATTATCGAATTTCATTCTTAAGTAAGATAGAAAAATATAAGCCTACTCAAAAAATTTCTTCAAAAAAAATTCTTAAAACCATTTCTTAATAACAGTTTTTTATAAGACCCAAAAACTTGTTCAAAATTATTTTTAAATCTTAACAATTAAAGAAATAAGAAAGGGAGAGCGAGTCATAACATATTGGAAGAGAAAGAAGGAAATGATCGGATGAGAGAGCGGAGAAAAAAAGAAGAGGTGAGAGGTGAGAGGTGAGAGAAAAATCATAATAGAAAACTTTCACTGGCAGTTACTGTTTACTGCATATGGTGTGAGCGGAATAACCGCATCTTCAACAACTGCAAGAAACCTCCTACTACAATTTTTTAGTTGATCACCAATATGATTCGGTGTCGATTGTGTACTTTGAAAGTTAACCTTCCACCATTAACATAGGGGTCTTCCATAACTGGAATGTTGTTGCTCCTTAGTCTCTAAGTTGTTTGTTGCCTTTCCCTACGTGGATTAGGCTTTGGTTTTTAGGCTTTCCCTTTTGTTTGCTGGTGCCTTGAATTTTCTTCTTTGCCCAGCTTTCAGTTGTTGTTCTCTTTGGGCTTTTGCCCTTTTAATATATTATTTATTTAACAAAAAAATAAAAAAAATAGGAAGAGATAAGATAGAAAGAAAAAATGAGAGAGAAATGAGTTTAAAAACCGACTTTTTTATGTTTTTCTATAAGCAAGCTAAGTTTTTTAAGTTAGTTTTGCGTTCACTTTTTAAAAATAGTCATACCAAACAAGAATTATTGACTTTAGACTCAAAAATTGTTTTTGAGTTAAAAACATTAGATTCAAACCCTAAAAATCTTATGTTTTTATAAGAGGTGTCTTGTATATAAAAACAACTTACATGGACATGATAAATTGAGTTACACGTGGCGTCTCAGTCAAAGTAGTCAACGTCCTTCTCTTATAAATAACAGGTGTATTTTTGCTCACCATTATCAAAGGTAGTAATGTTTATTACTATATTTATTATTATTTGATAATCTTAAATTTTAAGATTTATGTTTATTTTGTTGCATAAATCTTGAAATAAATAAAGTAATAAGAATCACCATTATTTGTAATGAGCAAAAATATTCTCATAAACGACGCGGATGCATATCAGCTAGATTTTCTCCCATTGGTTCACGTTGCAAATCAAGGATTGGTATGCAAATCACGTCATTCTCATTCATGCAATGCAATTGTAAATTTATTTCCAATTTCCAATTTCCAAACGAGTAGATAGAAAGCTAGGTTACCCATTTTGACTGCTAATTTGTCGATATCCCAATTATCTCAAAAATCTTAAACAACCAAGTTAAAGTTGTCACTGCCAGTTCGTCACCTAGGCCAGCCAGTCCAACTCTGCCAAACCCACCCACGCGCCAGCACCGCTCAACCCTACCAACCCATCTCCCATTACATTTCTGGAAAATCTGCGCAACCCAAGCTCCTCCAACTTGGGTTTATTTTGTACTTAGCAGAATTAGATTCACATCAAAAAACCAACTGATGTGGTAGGAGAGAAACTAATATACAACCGAAAATATGAATTATATGTCGATTGTCGAGTATTATAAGAATACGAAGATATACTTCGATGACAGACAAGCATCTAAAGATTGAAGTAAATCCTGCATCGAATATTCGAAAGAGAATTAATGAAGAGAAATAATTTGACATGTGCGAAGATCATTTCCACGGACTAGTGACACTTGAGAAAATAAAGAAGAAGAATTTAATTTTAATATGATTAGCAAAAAGATGATGATCATTAGGCAAAGGGTGCAATTAGAAAGTAATTGTATTAAGAAAGAAGCATGAAAACAGTCATGTATTTACTAATCAGTATATTCACTTCAATCCAATGAAAATCAAAAGAGGGCCTCCTAATTGACATCTAAATCCTAACAAATCATCAATTAAAACTGCACTAATCATCATTTTCTTGATGATTTAATCTTGATCTTGGCTTTGGAAGAACCATTAGCAGAACTACTCTTTTGCTTCTGAGAAGCCTTGGATGAATTCACCTGAGATTTCTTCTTGCAAGATCTTCTCATCCCAAAAGAAGAAAGCTTTCTTCTCTTCTCCCGAACCTCTCTGATGGGTTCGAGCCTTGGCTTCCACTGCCGCGACCCAACAAGTTGCGTGTAGTCTTTCTGCAGCTGAGCCGTCGTGCAGACCCTGCTCTTGGCCTTCGTCGTCGCCGTGTCCTCCTCCTCATTGAACTTCTTTTCCTCCAGCAGCTGCGATATAAACTCATCCGAAACGCGTATTCTCAAACATCCAGAAGGTGTTTTCTGTATATCGAACGGCTCGCAGCTCGCGGCCTTTCTAAGAAATGCGTTTCTCGACGAGTCTTTGGTGTTGCTGAAGGAAGCAATGGTGACGAACGAAAGTACGGATTGGAAAAACTGCTGGGGGAGGAGAAAGTACTTGTGGCCGAGCTGGAGCTGGTCGTCCTCCGACAGTGCCGGGATCTTCTGCCCGATGTAAAACGTATCGGACCGGCACACTTGGTGTTTCGGAAACTCCGTCATGACTTCCGAAACGTGGATTGGTTGGTGGTAGACCAACACAAGCCCGTCCGATTTGACGAGCTTGATGGTGCCGATCGGGCGGGCTTGGTCTTTGGAACGGAGCCTGCGCGCGAGATATGTGGTGTCTGCCCATTAATTGGAAGCACCACGGCACCATTTGGTGTGCGAAGAACCGCAACTTCATTTGTCAATGAGTGAGATCGGAGAGATGTAATTGGTTGGGAACTTTGAGCATATACGTTGATTGCAGAAAGATGGATGATGATAAGGTGTTTGATTAAATTAGTGAGGGAGCGAAAAGGGTTGTGGCTTTTGGGTATGGTGTGTGGGGCTGAGAAAATTGATTAGAAGCTAACAAGATATGAGGGGGGTTTCTTGGAGTTTATATATAATTTTTAATGGAAACAAGACTATATGGGTTTGAATGGAATGTGTACATGTCTCTATACAATAGTAAAATATATTATGGTTTATTTTAATTCCAACATTATTTTAATTTAATCCAAAATCATCCAAAGGAAATTTAGAACTAAATGTAGAGAGAAAGTATATCTTGATTAAGCTGTAGGCAATGTTTAAAAATCAATATCAGTGGAAATATAAATATGTAAATTTGTGAAAGTATCGACAGATATATCGATATTAGTTATTCTCGATGGAAATAATGAAAATTTGCTCAAAAACATGAAATTTAAAGTAAATCTTTAAGGAATGTTATCTGACAATTTGTTGATATTTACTTATATGATGGAAATATCGACAAAATCTATCGGATTTAGCCGGAATTTAAGAGTTTCTGTAATATGGGTGAAGTCTAAATTTCACTCCACTTTTTATATATTTATCCGATTTTTTTATATTTTCACAGAAATATCAACCATATCGAAGACATTTCAAACATTAGATATTCAGAATATATACGGTTCAAGTGAGGAGTAATCCTTATTTTAGCTTCTGTCCTAAGATACAAAAATATATATAAATTTTCATTCATATAACGTTCAATCATTAACACGAAATGGCACGAGTGCATTCGTACAAGTTTTCCAATTAGACAGCTTGGATTTTAGAGGACTGAAGACTGGGGGGAGGGAGAGAGGGAGAGGGAGAGAGAGAGAGAGAAGAGGAGGAGGGGGTGGGGACGCAATAGACCCGGGTAAAGCTTTGCTTTCTACTTTTATTTATTTTTAATTTGAAAGTTTGACACTTTGGTTTGACTGCAATTTCTTCTCGAACGCCAATTGAGGCCTAGTTTTTAAATCCCAGATCCCGCCTTTTATTTATGAAATAATATGCGGTCCAAACTCCAAACCCCACCCTTAAATTAAAGAACTTTAACGAAAAATTTCGGTACTGTTCATTTTAACGAAAATCATATTTTTACATTAAAAAATCAATCTTGGTACCATTCAATTTACCCTTATTTTATCGTTATCGTTAAAACTCAAATTTTCAAATCATTTTTATTAATTTGCCTCTTAAATTACTCACATTTTTTTGTATTGAATAAATCGGTTTTTTTTTTTTTGGTCAAGGTAGATTTTATAAGATTAAATGTTAGATTAATTAATGACAGAGTTTGAACTCACACCGTCGTATAAAAGCTCAACATCTTTTCACTAATGTATTAAGGGACTACTTGCAAAATAATCGGCTTTGAGAAAAATAATTTAGTGTAGATACTAAATAGTAATTTGGCAGGATATGCTCTATACTATTCCATATGCGGCCATGCTCGATTCATAATTTTATCCTTATATTTGGCACGATATGCATGAGAGGGAACACCAACTTATTGTAGTCAGAAGAGCCGGATGAGCACATAAAATTATTATAGAGAGAAAAGGAACGAAGATGTATACATACGGTTCGACGTGCGTCATCTACGAATTTCAGTCCGTAGTAAGTTGGTCAACACAATGTGTGTTTTTATTTTTTATTTTCTTTTCGTGGATAAGATAAGAGTATTAGTTTAGAATATTCTTGCGTTGAAATAAGAAACCAAGACTAGAGTACCAAATATTGAAATCTTTATTTTATATATTTTTTGTTGAGTACGAGAAAAAGAATATATCCGTAATTTCTGTGGGACTGGTGCTTTATGCTTTGCATGGTATAAGGGAAGGGTGAGAGGAGAGGAGAATGCATTTCCCGGTGGACGTAAGAGTAACAACACCCAAGACGTGACGCACACACTACCATTCCCAACTTCCATGATCTTAAGATTCTTATTCTATCTAATAATGAATTGAAATAATATTTCCGCTTTTCTGATTGGCCTATTTGGTCTTGATTGGTCCCATTTGTAGGAAAGGGATCCTTTCTGGATCACTTCTTTCCTAATCCATCAAGTCTGGAGATCTGAACCATTGGATCAAATTTCAGCAGTTTGAATCTCTAAACTTGGTGGATTTGGAGGAAGGGATCCGGATAGGATCCCTTTCCCCATTTGTATTAGTCAATTGTGCCAAAAATATGAGATAACCAATAGTTCATGGAGAGTTCCACTTTTAAGAGTGTCTCTTTAGCATCTCTCTTGTGCGTATCTTTAAATATTATATTTTAGATAATGTTAGGGAGACTAAATTTTTAAACCAAATTTTGTAAACCAAGTGATATGGACGTTGATGATTGAATTATTACTTAAATGTTGATTCACGTGTTTATTTCCTATTAGCGACACAACATTTCGTTTACAAATTTGGTCATTGAGATTGACATAACTCCTCACTTTGGTCTCTAAAATTAAAAATCAATAAAAAATGGTCTCTGACTTCGTCCACCACCAATCATTTTGGTCCTTTATGATAAATTGTGATAAATTTGGACCAAAATGACAAAAATACTTAGCCAAAATGATTTGAGCAAAAATTGAGGGTATTTTTTTTTTATCATTTTATCATTGTTTAATGGAGATTTTTGTACGAAATGACCAAAACGATTGATGGTGAACAAACTCAAGAATAACTTTTATCAATTTTAAATCTCATGACCATTTTGACTAAAAAGTTTATTTGTACGGAATGACCAAAACGATTGATGGTGAACAAACTCAAGAATAACTTTTATCAATTTTAAATTTCATGACCATTTTGACTAAAAAGTTTACTTTTAATATATGTGCAGATTGTAGAGAGTGTAATGGAATAGGATTTTATCTCCTGCTATTCTCATCACCTCCCCAAACTCAGGGATAACTTTTATCAATTTTAAATCTCATGACCATTTTGACTAAAAAGTTTACTTTTAATATCTGTGCAGATTGTAGAGTGTGTAATGGAATAGGATTTTATCTCCTGCTATTCTCATCACCTCCCCTCACCTCCTCTCACACTTTGTCTTTTGTCTTATTGTCTATATTAAAAAATCAAAATAAGATATTAACATGACTTAATCGTAACCATTCAAATAAAATAAGAAAAAAGGGAGAGAATCCTCCTTTGAGTATAATCCCACATCGGCTAATTTTATGCTTGCATTAGAGTTCAAAAATGATTTTTATAAACATTTGTAGTCAGAAGAGATTATCACGTGTTAAATTCAAACGACTACATCTTATCAGTTTGGGTTGTTGTGGAGAGTGATTCTACGCTTCCTATTGCTGCTATCAACAACTATTTCTGGGGTTTGTTCGAGTTTGGTTTGCTAGCGGAGGATGTCAGGTCTGTGGCGGAGTTGGTTTCTCCGGTCCAGTTTGTGCATGTGCCAAGAACTTATAATGGAGTTGCCCATAGATTAGCTAAGTTTGCCATTTCCATTGGTAATGAATTTGTATGGTTAGAGGATCCTCCTGATCTCATTCAGGACCTCCTCAGCTATGATCTTATGTAATGCGTTGGTTATCAATAAAATATCGCACTTACTTCATAAATATATATGCGACGTACACATGGTTAGACAATATTTTAAGAAAATGGTAGCACTTCGATAAAAATATATGCACGCTTGTTCAAATTTGTATCCAGAGGAGTATTACTTTAACCAACACACTGCTGGATTGTGGATTCCCCTTTCAGCTACCTCCATATAACTTAGAATTAAAATTTGCGTACGACAAGGATTAGTGTTTCTTTGTTGGCATTTGGCATGCACTCAACTGTGAAAACTTCAACAAAATTCTGAAGATGTACTTTGCTTGAAGTATAAACTATCCACACTACAAGGAATTCTTAAACCTTACCTACTTTCGCAGGCGACACTTGATCGTCGTGACAAAAAATAATCATATTTAAGTCTAGTGTGGGCTCGATTCTCACCAATTTCTCTCCCTCTAATAATTAACTATTTAACTTACTAATCGTACGTATTTTCTTGTATTGTCACATTCTCGTCTTACTTAGAGAAGCTTGTCAATGAGAATTTGACAAAAATAAAGTATTCCAATCTTATCATGTGCTGCAAACTTAAACTATCAGTTGCATGGTGGTGCTTCTCTTACTATGCCTTCATCTTTTCCTCACGCGCTATAGATTTTTTACAAATTTGGTGCTTTCACCAATGAAACATAACAAACTACTCTGCAAATGTCAAGTTTAACAAAACTTACCTGTTTTGATTAAAAATGAACCAAAACTCAGGTATCACTCGGTCTATAACACTCTATATTTAACTATCTATCTCCTCACATGACATGAAAATTCTTAATCATCATATGTTTATGATTTTAGAGCTCGCTTGTCTTGTATTATAATTAAAGTCTCTCCTCAACTTGCAAGTCAAGCAAAGTTGGCAAGGCCTGCGTTCCAGCCTGCATTTCCAAAATTGTCCGTGCAGAATTTTGCACTAAAACAATGTCAATATAGGTGTCTCAACCCACCAGAAGAAACACTTCTGTTTCATTTTGTTAGCGTAAAAGTATACATCGACAAGTTTGATGGAACAAGAAGTACGACCCAGCTAAACATTAGAAACCTTCACCCATAACAAATAATTAATATTAGAAAAGATAAGAGATAATTAATAAACTAACATGGGGTGTCAATAGAGATATTGAAATTCAATTTTGCTATTGTGATTTTGGTTTTTAATTTTAATTTTTTCTAAATTGAGTCAATATACAACTTCTCATGGTGTTATCTTGGTGGATCCAACTATTTTATTTTGATTTTACATATATAAAGGAAGAGCTTTTGGTATTACCAGAATATATTCTTATTTTCACATACGAATTTACAACACTTGTCACATGATTGGAACATACTTTTAATTTCTACGTATGAGTTTATAATACTTATCACGTGAACTCATAAATATAAATAAGTATAAACTACTGACGTATGATTTACAACACTTATCACGTGAACTTACAAATATAAATAAGTATAAATCTCCAGACAGTATGTCAAACTTTCTACATGAAAGTCTTTTGATACAATGAACCAAATACTATGTGCGGGGAGATTGTTTTGAAGCTTAATAAGAAGGAAGTTGTCGTTGAGTCACGCAAATGCACACTAGCATTACCACACATACAAAAGCTTCATCAACATCTCATCCACCAATCCGGTCTCGTCCGCTTTGGAAAAACACAGTACAAAAGTACAACCATAAAACGAAACGTGCTGAATATCATTTGTTTTTCTTCAAGTGGATCGATCATTCTGTCTTTGACCAGGCTAGCCGAGTGGAAACGAGCGTGTTCGGATGTTCTAGTTGAAGGAAAAGTACTCATCACTTAGGTGTTCAAGGAAAAGGACCGAAAGCCAAGTCGAGCAAATTGGTAAGTACGACACATGTCGGTGTCAATTGCCTGACCAGTTTACCAGAGCACTCCCACCCATTTGCCATTGTTCAGGCAAGGTCAGTCGATGATATTTACTATTTATTCTCAAAAGCAATTGTCTTTGTGCGTTCTATCCGTTTTGCCGTTGTCATGACGAAACATTATACAAATTCGAAACTCTTTAGTAAATCTAAATATGAAAAAAATATCACATTCATTAAATAAAATTGGAAAATGAGAATAATTAAGGGCGAATTTTAATTGTTCCGATTGTTTTCCAGAAATCAAATGTTTTTTTTTTCTTTTAAAAATGACATTCTTAAAATATTTTTTTTTAAATTTTAAAAAAGGGGACAACTGGTGGCAAATCACAATTATCCACCCCTTTCGGGGCCCGGGAAGATTCACAAAGACATTTCAGCCTCCCCCTGGCCACAAGTCTGGCTTCTACACTAGCAGCGGATTTCGAACTCGAGACCTCCAATTTTTAGTTTTAAGAAAGCCTCATAATTCACCATTTACCACTGAACCACCAGCTCGTGGTTTTTTTCTTAAAATATTTTTAATTACATGGAAGTTGGAAGGGAGGAAGCCATGAATCATGGGGGAAAATGTAATGGGAGTGATATCCATTAGTCTCCTTTACTTGATTTGATTATTAACTTTTTAGGTAATGGATTATGATTTTTAAGGTGAAGTTAACAGAAAATTCTTTCATGCTACGAGTATTGGATGCCATAGATTCATTTGAATTATTTCTTTTATTGTGGTCCTATAAATCCCGACCATCTAATGCTCATAACCTTTAATGCTACGTAGCATGAAAGTGAAAGCCGAAGTTCATCTTTCTTTTATTTCAATACTAATGTTTTAGCAGCGGAAGGAAGTCAAGAATAAAAATAATTCCAACTTCGATTGCATATAAGTAAACCCGTCATTAGTGCATAAAAGCCTTGGATTATAGATTGTGTTGTAAAAAAAATATTATAGAAGACAGTGAAGCCAAAGCCCAAAAAACCCAAAAAGAAAGTGGCCCAAATATGATGCATTAGCCTTCATGAAACTGCGTCCGGCCCATCAGGACTGATCTGAGTATTCCGTATCCCGCAGAGAGAGAGATAGTTGACGAGAGTAGGGAAGAAAGGAAAATGGCGAAGAGGTGGTGGACAGTCGGAGCTGCGGTGGCGATAATCGGAACAGGGAGGGAGCTGAGCAAGCACTACGGGTTGGACAAGGACGCTTTGCTCAAGGTGTTTTCTGAATTGTCCGATCGGCTGGGAGTATGGGCGATCCCACTGTACGTTGCGATCCACACTCTCACTCTCGCTCTCTGCCTACCCTACGCCGTCTTCTTCGAGGCCGCCGCTTCTATGCTCTTCGGCTTCTTCCCGGCTATCCTCTGCGTCTTTGCCGCCAAGCTGCTCGGCGCTTCCCTCTCGTTCTGGATTGGCAGGTATTACTCAAATTTTAATGCTTTCCCTTTTCGTTTGAGCAATTTGACAAATGATTTGGGTAACTTAGTCTCCCTTTAATCTAAATATGGAGAATATCACTCTATTATTTGGTAACTGATAGACATTAGACACTGGACAGTGATCATTTTCCAATTACTGTGAAGCAAAGTTTATGCAAGTTTTATGCTTTTTCTTGTTGTGATGGGTGAACGGTGAAAACTTTATTGCAAAATTACAATTGGAATCACCCCAGCACAAAATGACTAATACCCTTTTCACTATTTAGTGAGAATGCTGGGATACTTATGATTCCGTAGAGGTGGCTCTAAGCTTCTAAGTAATAGAGGATTGGATGTAGTTAAAATTGTTAGCTTTATGTTGAGTTGTCCACCCCATCCGTTGAGAGAATCAGGTTCGATTTTGAGTGAGGACAGGTTTGTTTTGAATTTTGATTTAGATGAGGGCCTACGCAAGAGAATTAACTTCCCTGCTGCAATGGGGAATGCATATTAATACCTTGAAGAGGTATCAATACCATTCATAGCATGACCAAAATAACGGGAGGTGTGCTAATATGTAAGCAGCACCTCACATTCTTCATATGACAACTGAGCCGATCAACTCTAATTGCCCCCGTGCCAGTTTGTTGGGATTATGCTCTGTTAATTAGGTTGCAGTTTAAATTTGAGTGTTTTCAGCGATTGGTTCTAGGTACTGCTTTAATGTTGTGCGATTTGCAGGTTAATATTCAAGAGCTCAAGTTCAGCAATGGACTGGGTCCAGAAGAATAAGTACTTCAATGTCCTATCAAGAGGAGTTGAGCGAGATGGTTGGAGGTTTGTCCTACTTGCCCGGTTCTCGCCGATGCCATCTTACATTATAAATTACGCCCTTGCTGCTACAAAAGTTCGGTTTGTTGTGGATTTTCTGCTGCCAACAGTTATTGGATGCATGCCAATGATTTTACAAAACACATCCATTGGCAGCCTGGCTGGTGCTGCTGTTTCTTCGGCATCTGGCTCTCAGAAATCACAAATTTGGTCGTACCTTTTTCCTCTACTAGGAATTGTGTCAAGCATTCTTATTTCCTTGAGAATTAAGAAGTACTCTACTGAAAATTTAGTGGCTAAATCATCTCCAAGTCACGACTCTAGTAACATAGTTAGCTCTAATGACAAGGACCTGAAAAAGGGTCAGTAATAGATTTGTAAACCCTAAATTTGGTAGAATGTTACCATTTTCTGCTGCTGATGCAAGTTTTGCTGTTGAGGTTCCTCGTTGTTGTTATCTGCAATCTGCGTTGTTGGATGATATGCTATTTTATTTTTTCCATTAGGTCCTCCATTCTTCCCTAGCCTACTCTAATCAAATTGTGGAGTTTCTTGAAAACTAAGCAAATGCATGTTGAGGTAGTAGGTAGGTACTGTAGGGAAGACAGTTGGATGGTCCCATTTTTTACCGAAAATTGGTTAGTTAATTATACTTATACAAGTAATTTTGTGATTAGCTCAAAGTTCCTATGTTCTCATGCATGCTATAAACTGAAAGTGGTTTACGTAGCAAGATGAAGGTACCATTACAATTGTTATTGCAAAGCTGAAAGATCTTGTGGAATAAATGATGGCTGTGTATTGTTGTTGCTATTTTCTGTTGTGATAGTAGAACTGTAGAAGTCTTTTTGTTGTCAAGTCTGGGAAGTTTCCGTTATACCTTTCTTTGGTTTAGTGACACTAAATGCTGAATAATGATTTTGTCTGAGGCAGCAAGTACTTGTGCACGTTGACTCTGTGCGTTATATGGCACGTCAAGGGCCAATTACATCGATGATGTGAAACGAACAAGGTATGTTTCTAATGCCACTGTTACTAATGCACTGATCGTAGCATTTCTTTCTTTTTGCTGTTTAGCCATAATGTGCATTTAGAATTTGCTGATGTTCATTCAAATGATGGTTTATGTTGATTTTAAGGTTGGGGTAGGGTATGATTCGTATTTGTCATAGAATTAAGGTACTGATTACAACTGTTAATCTCCGCGCACACACGCAGACGCACATAGACATGCTGCAATAAAGATACGAGGCTTCAGGATTGAAGATCGTTGACTTTACTTTTTAGCATGAGTCTTAATGTGATCAAAATTGTTGTTTCATATATTATCATTAACCCCCCCTGAAATTCAAACACGGGTTTCTTTCTAGTTTGTCTTGTGGGTCAAAAGGGCAATTCAAAGCATTAGCTCTTGGAATTTGAAGATCATGAATGATATCTTTTATGTATGTCAAGCCGATAGATATTCCTTTTGAAATATATGCAGAGGAATGGTAAGGAGACTGATTGCATAATATTTTATAATGTTGGCACGGAAATTAACATTAAACTGTAAAACGACAGATTGTACAAAGTTCCACTTTGAGAGTCTCCATAACATTTCTCATATATGATGTGGAAAATGAGGAATTTTAGCTACCTTCTCTATTTGATTTTCCCTACTTGCCTTTTCCTTTCATTGTGTGATATATGGCATCCACTAACTTGAAACTCAGTATTTAATGTGTATGAAAATTGAAAATTACTTTTCCATACATCCCCGCACATATCAAATATAACTCATTCTTGTTTTTATCCTTAATAATAACTTTTATTTTTATTCTTCCTAATAAAAGCTATTAGTATTAAAGAATAAAAGAAAATTGAGTTATATTTGATTTATGAGGGGTATGCATGGAAAATAAATTTTTAATTTTCAAACACATTAAATTCTTAGTTTTAAGTTATAGTGGAAGCCACATGTCATACGACAAATAAGAAAGGTAAGTGGAGAAAATCAAACGGTGAAGGTAGCTAGCATTCCTTGTGAAAAATTCAGCTCCTACCATTATTTAACAACACCAAACCCACGTGTTGAAACACACAATGCCAACTTGCCATTTCAAAATGGTATTTCATACAAAATCCATGTGCTCTACCAAATTGACTTCCTAGAGACACGTCCGGCGCCCGCACGTGTCAGCTCTCTCATGCAGAGTGGGATCCACACGGAGGCCTCGCTTCGTATGACTAAGTTGACGCAGCAGCGGTCGACAAGTCCACACGGAGGCCTCGCCTCTTAGAGCAGTTCCACTGTGGGCTATTGCCTGATGGACTGGCTCTCAAACAGGGCAGGGAGCCCGAGTGAGGTGGTCCAATGTGTGCTGGCGATGGAGCCCGAGCGGGCCTGAGGGAGAGGCCCGGCAGGAGTTGCCAGCCCAAAAGCCCAAAGGCCACGTAACGCAAGGTTGACGTCAGCCACGTTTTATATATTTTTTGCATCAGGCGCGTGGGTGCACGTCGTTCAACACAAATTCAGAGCCGGGGTCCGAGGTGCTTTTCTGAGATGTTATTGTTGGGGAGGCCACGTGGCTTCCCCACGTCTGTTGGATTTCAACAGCTATATTTTATGGACCGTTGGATTTCCAACGGAAAAACAATTTAAAAACCGTCTAAGATCAATTGTCCACGCTATTCGGCTTTACAAATTTTTTTTTTAAAAAAAAAAGGTTTAAAATTCTGAATGTTACTGTTGTGCCACGTGGCACAATTTGGAGTGTTGGAATTCAATTTTTTTTAATCCAACGGCAAAGATTAATTATGTGATTAAATTTTTTTTTAAATGTAAAAAATTAGTAAAAATCTGGAAAAAAAAAAAAAAAAGATTTTACTTTTTTTATATATTTTCTCAACTACTTTCAACCACATTCCTATCTTTCTATCAAAGTTTCAATCCAATTTTTTTCCAACACAATGACTAATAATGACACGTGGCGTAACGAGAACGATTAAAAGTCTTATCTGAAATTACAAATAAAATTATTTTATATTATTTTATAAATAAATAAAAATACTAATATTTTATTGACTATTGCCAGGACTATTCAATGTAAGAGTGGAGATGAAAAAGATAGTTACTGTTTATTAAAGATAATTACTGTTCACTAGATAGATTAAATAGTGAATAGTCCGGAGTGCCTTTGCAATGGTTGAGTTGCTCTTGTGAAAGAGCTGACGCAGCAACGGTCGACAATGATATCTCCTTGCCTTTTTTGTCAACATAATCGACTTCCTACCATGTCAAATGTTGAATATCCCATCATAGGCCACAATGCCTCTTTCACCATCACATTCTGTCTTCTTCCACATGCATCTGATATTTGTGGTGGTTCTTAACTTTTCTCCCTCCATTAGAAGTTAATGGAAGCAAGATGTCATCAACTAAAGCATAACTTCTTTCTTAGTCTTGATGTCACATTCATTTGTTTGGATAGGGTTCAGAAATTTGAAATATATCTTAATCAAGTGTTACTAATGATAATCATCGATAATTATCATCAGCTTACGTACTAATCACTTTTTGAAACAATTTATAGGTGTGAGTTATCATGGATAATGTTATTCACACGTCAAATTTTACTTCTCGCATCCCCTTGTAAAATTTTGATCATTAATTTTCTTCAATTTATTTGATTTGACAACTGAAAATTAAAGAAGTGTGAAATAAAAATGAGTGTAGTGTAACACTACCCCACAAAAATGATCGAAAAAAAGGAAGCTTTACTGTTTTGGGGATATGGGAGATGCGTAGAACTCAAGACTTCAGACTAAGGGAAAATACATCATCATGATTGACCATGGAATTTCAAAAGTATATGCTCAACTTCAACACCAAAAATGAGAGACCAAATTCCAATTAGTATGTGATATGAAATTGACTTTAAAAATCAAGGCCAGCTTGTGGAAAAATTCTTAGTTCTGTCTCTTCCGATCACGTCAACTCTCTCGCAGCAAATACAAATAAGAGAAGGGACCTTTCTCTGTATTAAAATCTCACACGACTCTGCTCTCACCGTCCTCAATAAGGGGGCCTTTTGATTGTGACTGTTGTCAAATAGGCAACGTAATCCGACTATCGGATAGGAGAATGTATTCAACTTGTGCCTTTGTGGTTTTGGAGAGCACTATAAACAATGCTTAATGCAGTGAACACTAAGGTGTAGATATAATCTAAATTAATAAAGGTTCTGATCCTCAATTAATTAAACACTTTCTGCATCCGATCAAGCAAATGGCATTAAACTCTTTCATTTCAAAGAATGACATCCAATTATTATATAGAGAATACACTTATAAAATGCGGACAAAACTTATCCAAAATACCAAAAAAATAAAAAAAAAAACATAAATCTTATATGCAAGCAATTGGGTGGTGCTGCTGACTGGTGACTGGTGTGCTGATGTCAATCTTCTCCATTATCGGTGGTCACTTGTTGCGGCGGGTCCCCCTTTTTCTTTATGTCCCCACCATCCTCACAGATGTCAGATGGTACTTACTTGCAGTAGGTATCAGTGCACGGACACCAACCACATGTGGTGGACCCTCACCTCACCCCATTATTTCTGACTCTCCTTTTGCTCTACTTTTGGGTGCGCAAAATCCCATATCCTCTAATTTGATGACACTTACATAAGCATTAGATCAGCTAATGATAATTACAGGCTCTAATCTCTTTCTCCCCCATCTTTAATCCATATACTTTGTTTAAACAGTTAAAAATTCTCTTTGTGGAACTCGAACTTTGTGGTCGTCTTGTGTGAAAAGTCCAACGCCAACTCCTTCAGGCCCTTTGTTAGTGCTGGTGCCCCACAGTAGAACACCCCTGTAGCATAATCATCAATTTCGTCATGATTACGATGAATGATGTTAACTATAATTATGTTAACGATGTTGGATTTGATTAAGAGAGCGGCCATGATTCTTAATCGCTGTTGAATGTGCGTTTCTTAGTAAAGCTCGCTCACATCAACGATTAAGAATTAGTTAAGCGCGACTGACTATGACATTATATTTTAGTCTGTTATGAATTTTGAAAAATAACATAAAGTGGTAGGCAATAGAAGGTGGGCTGAGGTTGGTGAGGAAGTTTTTACGGAAGTTTTTACTATACTCACCCACTCGGCTGCCCGGATGGTGGCGGGCGATATCCTTGTAAACTTGGCGCCAGTTGGGTTTGGCGAAGTGGGATTTGACACGTGTGCCGGACACCACGTCGACGCCGTTCTTGGCGTGGTGGAGGGACTGCAGCATGGCAATGAGGGCCGACCTGGCATCCCCTTCCTCGTACACACTGGTGCAGTAGTTGTGCATCTCGATCACACCCTTCTCGTCCATGTCCGCCACCTCATTCAGAATCCCTTTGAACCACTCAAACGAGCCTTGTTCTCTCGTCACCCAATAGTAGTAGGCTTTTCTGGTCTTGAACCCTTTGTTGCTCTTGTTCTTCCCACTGTCGCTGTTGTCATGGCTCGAGGCATTCGGAGTGGCCCTGCCGCTTTCTAAGGCGGACTCCGAATCATCGTCTTCCTTGCTCTTCATCTTCATGTTGTTGATGATGTCCTTCACAATGCTCACCATGGGAGTGGCTCCGATTCCGAGCCCTACAAGCAATACGACGTCGTATTTCTTGTAGTCCTGTGCCGGTGCTCCGTATGGTCCGTCTATCAATATCTTAGGGAAGCTGTAAACACCAATTAATTAACAAATCAATCCACATTATTCACTTTAATTAAATCCTCCTTTTGTTTTAAAGGTATGTATGTATAATTAAAAAGGTACCTGGGATTGTTTCCTCCTTGCATATCAGCTCTGAGTAGGCCACTCTTCCCACCGGTTGGTGGCTGACATACCTAATTAACCAACACAAACAAATAATTAGTGATCATGCACAAGTTTTGGAGGGTTTATAGCAAGAAATCCTAAGATTACGAAGTTGTGATCGGTCAATTTCAAACGAACCTCAGAGAAAACAGTTTTGAGCTGCCGCGTCCAATCGCCTAGTGTTCGAATGTGTACACTCAGGTAGTCGTCTCCAGGTGCTGAGGTGATGGAAAACGGGTGCCTGTCGATAAAGTTAGAACATAATTAGTGTGTTTAATTAGACATGGTTAGAAGATTTTGTGCACAAAATGTATGAGTGTTTACCATTCGAAAGGAGAAACCGCAGCGCAGTTGACAAACATGTACTGGCCGCTCTTGTATTTGAAGCCCTGAGGTTTCGACATGTGCAGTGCAAGAACATTTCCAGGATAAACAGCAACCTTCAATGTTCATAACAATGTAACAGATAATTAAGAAATTGATGATATAATTTGAACCAAATAGCTTGGTAGCCAAAATATAATCAACTAATTAAGTACCTTCATAATCTTGACTGGCTTGATGCTTGATCTAAAAGCTCTAATCAACCTTTCGCAAGCGTAGAGGGTGACCGGAACCGCCAAATACATCCATGTCTGCCACCAAAAGAAGTAAATCCACTCTCAAAATCATGCAACTCAATTACCCTTAAGGAACTAACGGTTTGTCTTTGACAATGCGATATTCTAAACTATTTTAATCTACAGGTAAAAGAATTCAAACTCAGGGTGCAAAGGACTGACCGTTTTGTTATACCATTCCTTGGTGAGGTAGAGCTTGATGCCATGGACAATGAGGAGACCATAGACAATGATAAACAGGTGGTGGGAATACCAGAAGGCATTGAAGCCAGTGAGCTTCTTGAGAGGCTTTGGCAAATTGAGTTTGTTTCTTCTGAACCAAGGAGTTGCCAATGTGAAGGCTATGGTCATCAATACCACCATCAAAATACCTGTCCACCCTTCCACTCCCTTCACAAACCACCAGTAGTTCGGAGGCTGCTCCTCGCCGAAGTAAGGTTTCAAGTCCTCGTACTCATCTTCGGTCGCATGTAGAATCCGTGGAAAATCACACGTCAAATGCGACCCCGCGTGTAGTCCAACTCCAACTATGATTCCAACCGCAATGACCTGCAAGACCAATTCAATTTCACTCAATTTTGGACACAAAATTGGATTCTCCGAATGAGAGAGTGACATTTTGTTTATATTACTACCTTGTGGAAATTTAAGTTGTCGTCAAACGGCACGACAACGCCTAATTTGGTCTTGTTTCGGAGCCAAGTAATTGTGTTTCGGCAGACGGGAAGCAGAATCAAGGCCATGTTGAACTTGAGAATCTCTGCTCCTCCTTTGGCAACGCAGACACAGTATCCCATCACCTCGAACGCCGCCTTTTTTTCGCGGTACTGCAGAAACTTGTATGCAAATAAACCGGAAACTATGCCAAGCCAGAGCATCACAACCCAGACTCTCTGCCAGTTATCTAGCACGAAGTACTTGGTTTTCTGGTAGCATCTTCGGATTGGGTTGTCCTCCTGCGTCGGCTTCAGCTTCTGGCTCAGAAGCTGACTCAAAACCCGGCTTTCGTTTACGCTCACAGATTGGCTAACCGGAGCTTGCAGCAACAGAGTTTCCAGATTTTCAACCATGATGTAGCCGACATTGTCCGGGTCGAGTTCTTCCATGATCAAAGCTGCATATTCCCTTGCTTGTTTCTGAATGTTTGAGAGCTTGTTTGCAGAAGCACTCATGCTTATAATCTGCAACACATATATATGCCATTAATTACTTTAAAAAATGTCGTCGGCAAGTAAAAAATAGATCACATAATTCCAAGAATATTTAGCTCGGTGCTTAAGTTAATTAAAAATTAAGAAATGTGGCCGGCGGTAATCAGTAAATGGCGGGTGGCCTACCTCTGTGACTTCTTCTTCGGTGATTCTTCCATCGGCGTCTCTATCCACCCTGCATTTACACACACATTAATTATAGTTAATATATTTAATGCACCAACTAATTTATTGACCAAGATTAACTAAATTAAGAAGCCTGATAAATGAAAATTAAATGGTTATGTAATGATGATGTGTTAGTGTAGTACATGTCAAAGAATGTTTGGAGTCTGGAGTCAAAACTTTCGTCGGAGATTTGTTCCCAGAATTCTCTCAGCTGCGCCTTGTTGATGATATCACCGGTTATGTTCCGCCTCCGAGCAAGTGCCCGGAAAAGTTCTCCGGCAAACTCCTTGGACTCCTTGTTCATCCCTGCAAAGTAATTTAAACCGCGTTAATTGACTAATTTAGCTTTCAAAATTTACTAATCAATTAACGTAGTGATTTTTACACTCCTTTCTAAATTTCTAATCCCACTCTTGTTTCGGTCGTTTTAATTCTTCTTTGATTTATTCAACCGGAGGTCTAGGTATAGAGTGCAACAGGAGAAAAAGAGAGATGAACGGACCTATGCATTCGCCAAAGAGGGAGGAGTGGAGGAGCCAGTTGGATTTGGCGGTGAGCTCGTCGTAGCGCTTGTCTACGGCGGCCCAGCCGGAGGTGGAGGCGGCGCCGGTCTTGGCGGTGATGAACTTCAGGTTCTTCAAGGCGTAGGCGGTTGCTGACTTAGTCCGATCGAACCGCTTCGCGTTGGAGGGCCTCTTGGTGAAGGAAGCCAGCCGCTTCAGCTCCTGAGAGACCTGCCGGATGTGCGACGACGTGTTCCGAAAAAGCGACGAGCGCAACGACGACGACTTCTTCCCCTCCAGCGTCCGCTTGGCGAGCAGAGCCAGCTCGGGATCTTCGCTGCTGGCACCGCCGGCGGCCTGGACGCTGTGGACGGCGACGGAGTCATCTCGGATGTCGAGAGTGATCTCCACGTAATCATCGTCATTGTTTTTGCCGGAAGTAGTACTAGTAGTCTTATCCGTACCGCCGGAGTTGTCGACCTTGGTGCTCTTATTCCGCCGCCACGCGCCGCTGGAGTTGGAGGACGTGGTCGGTGCGTAGTTAGACGTTCCCAGCGGGCCGCTGAAAGCTCGTCTTTCGAACCGGGTGCTACCTCCGAGCGCGGTGGACTGAGTCGACTCGGTGTCGGAGTTGTACTCCGAGGACGTAAGCATCCCTTCCTCATCGTGATGACCGTTCATTGCTCAGATTTTTCTCACAATATCCAAATGTTTTGTTGATTCAATTATTTCATCAAGTTGTGAAAAACAGTGGAAAGAAAAGAGATGTGGGTTTGGAGATATTTTGGGATTAAAATTCGAGGGGTAGATGGGTATATATAAGAGAGGAGGAGGAGGAAGAGGGTAGCATGCAGCAGAACGAAGTGAGAAGGGAGACGAAAACGACTTTGAATACGGAAAAGTCAAAAAGCGTGAGAAGAGCGTAGAATAGTATGGCCAGCAAAGGAGCAACATTCGGCGGGGAATCGGGGATTGATGTGTGTTAGTCTAATATCTCACGACTCAGACATATGATAAGATTTTTCAATTGGCTCGAAATTAAAGTCACATCGTAATAATCATATGTTACTATGAAAGTGGAGGAAAATTTTGTTTTTTATTTAAAATGTTATTTTAATTGCATAATGACATTTGGTGTATCGTTTTCTATTTTAGAAACATTGAAAAATTTCTGAAAATTTTTTCAATCTGCCCGGAGCAAAAGTAAAACACTACATATCATTATATAATTAAATGAACACTTGAAAATAAAACTTTTTTTCAATTGTATAATAATATGTGGTGTACCGTTCCGTACATATTATACGATGGACTTTCTTGTTATTCTTTTCTTAACCAAATTATTTAATAATATTATATGTGGTATTGTTGAATCCCACATTTGTCGTAGAAAAACAAAAGTAATAGTATATGATAATCTTACTCTAATTAATACGGAGGTCTTTTATGATAAAACTTCACACTTGACGGAATGTGTAGGTGGTAATTACCAAGTTGAGGATAATATGAATATTGTTGGAAGTGGATTTTTGACCAGTCTCTTTGATAATTATACATGGTATCAAAGCTAAGAAGTGGGCTCGTACTGTAGTGCCACGTGATAGGTGGGTCCCATTGGCCCCGCGCGAATAAGGTGGGTCACTTGGGCCCGTGTGTAAGGTGAGTCCCTTTGACTTTATGTGGTTGTCGATGTGTGAATCCCCACGTGTGACCCACTAATTAATTGGATCACACGTGAGGGGCTTGTTAAACATCCCACATCGACCGTATCTTTGATAAAAGAAGAGTTTAAATATCTTAATTTCACTCTAACTAATACCGAGACCTTTTGTGATAAAACCTCACACCTGACGAATTGCATAGGTGGTAATTACCAAGTTGGAGACAAAATCGGTGTTGTTGGAAGTGGGTATTTGGCCCGTCTCTCTGATTCTACATAGTATCAGAGCCAAGGAGCGAACACGTACTACCACGTGATGGGTGGGTCCCCTTGGCCTTTCGTAGTTCATAATTTCATTTTCCAAACCATTTCCGATAATATGCAAATAACCGAAATAACCAACTTTTGGGTTTAATAATCAAAACACATCGATTGGATACCAAATCATATTTAGAATATCAAAATTTGCACAAAATGGCAGCATCGGCCCACTGGCCACGCGCCGCCGTGGATGACAGTTTCCGACGATTGGAAATCTAATTTTCTAACTTACTCTTAAAATTACCAAATTTTATAGGCAAATAGAGTTCAATGAGATAAGCAACTTTCATACCTGGATCGAAGTCCAATTCAGCCGGGAAACACCTCAAATATCCCTCAAACCACCGGAAACCCTTGAATTTGGGTGTTCTTGATTCGACTCAAAATTGTTCTGACACCCCAAACAATGCATGGGCTTTGTTCCAGGTCTCAAGAGGAGTCCAAAGGTAGTGGTAATTTTAGGACTTAGCTTCAGGATTTGAGGAATCGCCACCACGAACCTCGTCGCACTCACCGTGCGGATTTCACCATTTCAAGGCTAAATTTCACCAAATTTGGGGTGGAAAGGGTAGAGGGAAGGTCGAGGAATATTTTCCAAGTATTTTCTCGGCGTGATTCGCCAGAATCCGGAGAAAACACCAGATTCCATACTTTCTCGTGGGTCGGGTCTCAAAGGAGAAACGGGTCGTGAGAGACTCAATTTGTCTACCTCTCTCTCTTTCCTTTCCTTCCCGTCTCCACTCCTGATTCGGCCGCTCCTTCCTCCCCCTTCTTGATTTGCCCAGCCCTCTCATTTCTCTCCTTCCTTTTCGATCCCAGCCACACACGTGGCTTTATCCTAAAGGTCCATGCTTCAGATTTTTGTTGGAGCCTTCTAGAACTGGAGGGCCAAATTCACTAAAATGTCCCCAACTTAATGTTAATAACTCTTCGTTATAACTTCATTTCACTAACGGTCTGCGCCTACGCGTTCGTAATCTCAAGCTCTATCCAAATATATCAAGAAATACGATAAAATGTATGAAAATAAAATACGTCCTGGTATAATTACATTAAGTTAACTAGGGCAATTTCATCTTTTTCACCTATCGATAATTTTTACGATGTAAATTATAATAATTTCCAAAAACAAAACTTCCAAATTCCTCAATTAAATTTTCATAACCATAAGTCAATCTATTTCGATTTCTCCACGTATTCATATATTTAAATTTTCAGGGTATTACAAGTTCCTTTGGCTCTACGTGGTTGTCAATGTGTGGATCTTGCACGTGTGACCCACTAATTGGGTCTCACATGAAGGGACGTGTTGAATCCCATATTTGTCATAGAAAAACAAAAGTAATAGTTTAAATATCATAACCCCACTTTAACTAATACCGAGACTTTTGTAATAAAACCCCACACCTAAAGGTTTATGCAAGTGATAATTACAAAGTTGGAGACAATATCAATATTGCTCGAAGTAGACCTTCTCTGATAATTCTACAGTGATGTCCTCTCTATTGTTGGTGTAAGTTTTGAATTCAATCAACACATATGTTATGAATTATCAACACATATGTTATGAATTTAATATTATGTCGTGATGTATTGTTGCTTATTCTAGATGAATTAACCTACCTGTTGTCTAACTGTTTTTGTAAATATTAGTCTAGTCTCTCTTGTTTTAATATAATTAGTTGTGGATGTCACATAATTACTCATCCTCATTATTTGATTTTGAAATTTCTATCTTCACGTTTAATGATTTTACATCATGTTAACACTCAATGTCAAGATCACCAAAAAAAAAAAAAAAAGTTATTACATAACAAAATTAGTGTTTTGTTAAGGACGTATTATTACACTATTAATGTAGGTTGTTAAGCATATGTAAACGTTACTACCTAACAAAATCATCGTTCAAATTAAAGAATACCGATATCTTTTTTTAGAGAGACTTTAGATACGGCCCTGGTTATCAATGTTCTATGATTGAAATCTTGTTGGTTTTCAATTTTTTATCGAAGTTCCTGATATTAATGTAATAAGTATTTTTATGTACGTTACTATATTTTTTTAGAGACTTCAACCAAAATCTAAAAACTAATAAAGTCTAAATTAATGAACATTAGTAACAATGGATCGAATACTAATTTTTTTTTTTATGTACGTTATTATATTTTTTTTTAAAACTTCGACTAAAATGTAAAAATTAATAAACATTAGTAACAATGAACAAAACACTAATTTTTCTATTTTAGCTGTAGACTAATTCGGTCAAAATGAGAAGACTAATTAAAGTTTTGTTAGAAAACTCAGTAAAAGTGAGAAGACTAATTAAAGTTTTGTTAGAAAACTCGGTAAAAGTGAGAAGACGAAAACTCCATAAAAGTGAAAAAGTTGTAGGAAACCAAATGCCAAATGCCGGTCAACTGCTTCCTACAAACCAAAGAAATCAGTGCTTCCTTTACTTTCTTTTTCTTTTACTCAGAACATGCATTTGTATTGCACCACAGAATATATATGCATCTAATCAAGTGTTGCAACGATTAACCAAAGAAGTTACAATATTATTAACACTTAGTATTTGTGGACGCACGGCAGTCGGCATGGTCAGATTCAAGTCGGTCTCGGAACGTATTTGTATATAATATAAGTGGTGATCGGACGGTGAATGGTGGTGGTGAAAAACCAAACAAAAATGGATGGATGGGCGGGGCAGTATAGTAAGATGCCCGAGAGTGACCAACTAAAACAAGTAACAGTTACGTACTGCGCGTAATATGATCTGCAAGTTGCTATTTACTTGCCTTTTTTTGGCGTACTATTGAATTTTGATGTACCTAATCCTACGTCTGACAAACGAAGTTTGCCATGGTGTTTTGTTTGAGCAGTGCTAGCTAGTGCTTAAAGACCAAATTATTAAACCTGTTTCAGTCACACTGGCCACATTTGGTCCAAGGAATCTTGGTAGGTAGATCCAGAAAAAATCAAGATATTTAAAGATCGATTTTACCTTAAACGCGCCAAGGCCGATATATATTAACAATGTAGTTCTGAGTTTAAATAAGGAAAGAAACCAACCCAAACAAAATCACTAAGTGGATTGTTTGATTTGGGCGGTGTGGATGTAAATTTCCGTCTCCTTCTTCTTGGACAAAATTGCACCTACAAAACAATTAACACCTTAGGGTCAAAACCAAGAGTCTCACACGTCCAAGATGAATTGGGGGGGGGGGTGGGGCTTTGGATGAAGAACCTCCGATGCCAAAGTTAGAATATAGAGAGAAAAGTGTTTAGAGAGTTTTTGGAGTTTTGAAAGAGTGTTGACTTAGGTTTTTAGAGAAAAATATGTAGTATTTATAGGGCATGACCAGTCCCCTTTGGAGAAAAGGTGGCCAGCCTTTGGGATGCTTTTTGTGTGCATTTTGTGGTTTAATGTGTGAGTTATTTGGCAATTAATGGATTAATTAGGTAATAATCCATTAATTAGCCAATTAACACATTTTTGGAATGAAAATTTTGGAGGTTATGAAATAATTACCTTGTGGAAAATATAGGATGAGGATGGATGAAATAACTTTGAATTTGTTACCTATTTTGGGCACTTTTGACTTGATTGTGGAATGTTTGTCTACTGCTCGTGCATAGGAATTCCAGTGCTCCTCAAGGGTAATTTTGTCATTTTTGCCCAAAAATCTACGTGTTGGCTCTTGATTATTTTTGGCTCCACAAATGCCCCCACACTTGTTGGGCTGCTCGTAGGAAAGGGCAGCAGGTGTAGAGATCTTCTTGCTTTAGGAAACATAGGATTGTTTCCTATTTTGATGTTGATTCTCTCTTGAATAGGAAATTAGATCCTTCTAGGAAAGGGAAATAAATTTCTCTCAAACGCCTATTTAAGTCCA